TTGTATCACTACTTTAAGCGTTTGCACAACTGCATTTTTGCTGAAGAACCTGCCCCTGGATTCATGCAGTTCTGAGTCATCCCTCAAGCTTTATGAACACCTCCCTCCCAGGCACCCCCAGAAGACATAGGGGACATGTTTCCCATAATTGCACTGGCACCTACTGGCGAAATCCGTCCCTCTCCGGCAGTGTGCTGAGTTACTCTCATCCTCTGGACTCCTGCATTTCTAAGGGCAGCAATTAAAGGCTGTTTTTTTTCTTCCGTTTTAATGGTTGGTTTCTCCCACGTCTTTGGAAAGCCTTGTAAGGTGCCAGTGAAGTCCTGACAAGCTAATCTTCTATTTTCATACTTTATTTGAAAAATATATAAACAAATGAGTAACTAAAGCACAACAGCCAACATGAAAAAAAAGAAGTCACCTATGGTCAGAGGTCATTGGTTGTTTCTGCTAACCCAGTGGCCCCAGACAGGAAATAAATGCCTTCAATTCTTTCATTTAGTTAAAAAAAAAAAAAAAAAAAAAAAAAAAAAGAAAGAAAGTGGAGCCATTAGTTAAAATTACCAATGACAGGTAATCAGGGGGTTGGCAGTTCACTTGTCCTGCATTTTTTACTTTAATCAAGATATGCCCGCTGCTGTGTTGTCACATGTGGTGGCTAGGTTTCCCTGAAGGTTAAAGCCAATTTTATTCCGAGATGCTGCCTGATAAAGCTGCCTACGGGGAGCCAATAACCGTGCCGTTTTCACACCTGATTGATAACTGATGGCCAAGCCTTGCACCAGCACAGGGAAGGAAAGGGCTCTGAATTAAGCCTGAGTTTACTGAAGCGTGTAATTGCCCATACTAGAGATTAAAGCCCTTTACCCTTTGATTGTCGCCTCACCTATGAAACTCGTTTCGGTCGCAATTCAGATTTTTTTTTTTTATTATTTTTTTTTCCCTCCCTCTTTCACGAAAAAACCCGCGCAAGCAGCCGGCGAAACGCTTCACCTACAAGGCCTGGCATTCAGTTACTTTTCTCTTTCGATCACGCAACCCGTGGCAAGAACAAAGTACCCCTGGCCCACCAAGCCCTTCCTGGCGGATTGCCTCCCACCGGCGCGCAGCCGGGTGGGCGCGCATAGGTGGGCGCAGGCACGGGCGGCCGCACCAACCCCCCTGAGCGCTTTCGCCAATATTTGCGCTTATCTCGCGCCGTGCGCCTGCTGGTCTCCCGGTCACACGGCTGCTGCGATCGGGAGCCGAGCGCTCGCAGGCGTGACACCGATCATCTCCCACGCCTCGGCTCCGACGGACGCGCGGCGCCGGGTGACAA